TAATGTTGATCGAATTATGCATTTTATTACTATGCTTATTCTCATTTTACTATTTAAAAAGATAGTCAATTTAAGTGCCAGGGTGACAGCTTTAGAAAAACTTGATAAACCTGTAAAAACTCAGACAGAAGAAACTAACAGTGAAGTTGCTTCAAGATTGGATCATAGGGTTACAGAAAGAAAGCCTGTTTTCACGCAGTCACCCTTAGTTTGTCCAGTAACTGTACAGCAGTTGCCTGATCAAATGACTACACAAAATATTTGGGCTCCAATTCAAATGTTAGATTTACGAAGGTTTAAGGAGGCAATAGTATCTAATGGCATGCATTCCCCATATGTAAAGCAAATGTTAAGCTCTTGGTCAACATATAATAGGATTGTACCACAGGACTGCGGGAGCTGGCACTGAACCCAGTCAAAGGCTTCAGTGGCTAACTTGGTTCAAGGATGAAGCTAAAAACATATAAAAACAGTGGAGGGATAAAGGAATACAAGTCTGCCAGGATCAGCTTATTGGAGAAGGTCAATATGCTTCAGCACAAACACAATGTTTATATGATGTCCAAACCCTAATTTTATGTCGAACAGCAGCCTTGAATGCATGGGACAGAGTTGAGGAACCAGGAAAAAAAAACTGAGTCATTTACAAAGGTTGTACAAGGCCCAAAAGAATCTTTCACAGATTTTTTACAAAGACTGGCTTCAGCAGTAAAGAGAATGGTCCCGGATTCAGAAGCTAGTAAGATAATAATCGAAACTTTGGCCTTTGAGAATGCAAATGCAGCATGCAAAACAATAATCAGGCCATTAAAGGCAAGATCTGCACCTTTGGAAGATTGGATTAGAGACACAGTTAATGTTGAAGCTCATAAGCATGATGATACGTGGGTAGGAGAAGCAATTTCAAAAGGTTTGAGGAATGTTAGATGTTTTGGATGTGGAAAGCAAGGACATTTGAAAAGGGAGTGTAAACAGGTCATTCCTAGAAACAATGTTTCCTCAAGGAACAATGGCAACAGAATGCCCCTTCCTTCTGGAGTATGCAGAAGGTGTGGTAAGGGAAAACACTGGACCAATGAGTGTAGATCAACAAGGGACAGACAGGGTAATCCTTTGCCTCACTCTTCGGGAAACTCCCAGAGGGGCCTCATGCAGGCCCCAATAGCCAATCCAGTTCAAACCTTTCCTGCAGTCGTAGAGGAAACCCCTACTCAGAGCAATTAAATAACCAAATGCCTATTGGAATAAGTCATGCTGATCAGGATGATGAAACAGAGAGAATAGAAAATTCAGGAGAAAACATAAAGAAAATTTTTTTGGCAAACTTCTATTAATGAACAAAGACCAAAATTATTGATAAAAATAAATGGTGTTTTGTTGTCTGGTCTGGTAGACACAGGTGTGGACATTACCATAATTGCACCAGAATTTTGGCATCCAACTTGGCCTCTTCAGGAGGTAAACATTCAACTCTTAGGTATTGGGACATTATCTCAGGTGAAACAGAGTGCAAGATGGCTCGAATGTATAGGTCCAGAAGGACACAGAGGAAAATTGAAACCATATGTAGCTAACATAGCTATGAATCTGTGGGGTCGAGACTTGTTGCAACAATGAAATACTCAGATTAACATCCCTCCAATCTCAGAAACAAATCATAAACTAGCACATGTTTCTGAGAAAAATATTAGAAGGCAATATTCTGAATGGTCACCAGGCATCCATATTATACAAGAACAGGACACAACAACTGATGATCTTCCAAAGACATCAACAGCTCTACCTTTAAAATGGTTAACAGACAAGCCTGTATGGGTCCAGCAATAGCCTTTAACAACAGAGAAACTCCAGGCTTTGGAAGAGCTGGTAGAAGAACAGTTAAATGCTCAGCATATTGAGGAATCAACCAGTCCTTGGAATTCTCCTGTATTTGTTATTAAAAAGAAATCTGGTAAATGGAGAATGGTAACAGACCTTAGAGCAATTAACAAAGTAATTCAACCAATGGGCTCTCTAAAATCTGGAATTCCTTTGCCTACTCTGTTACCAAAAGGATGGCCTCTCATAGTTATTGATTTAAAAGACTGTTTCTTTTCAATACCCTTACAAGAAAAAGACAGAGAAAGATTTGCTTTCACAGTGCCTACTTATAATAATTCTCAACAGGTTAAAAGATTTCAATGGAGGGTCCTCCCACAGGGAATGTTGAATAGCCCAACTCTGTGCCAATATTTTGTACAACAGCCATTGGGAGTGATATGTAAAAAATTTCCTAAATCTATAATTTATCATTATATGGATGATATTTTACTAGCTGACTCAAATGCAGATACTTTAGAAAGAATGTTTGAAGAAGTAAAGAAAACTTTGCCTTGCTGGGGATTACAAATTGCTCCTGAAAAGATACAAAGAGGAAATTCTATTAATTATTTAGGATATAAAATAGAGCTACAAAAAATTAGACCCCAAAAGGTGCAAATTAGGAGAGATCGACTACAGACTCTTAATGACTTTCAAAGATTATTTGGAGATATTTCTCATCTAAGAACTATTGTTGGGGTAAAAAATGATGAACTGCATAATTTGTTCAAAACCTTAGAAGGTGACAAGGACTTAAATAGTCCAAGAGAATTATCACCTGAAGCTGAGAAAGAATTGGCCTTGGTAGAAAAGAAAGTGCATGAAGGATGCGTGGATCGTATTGATCCAAAGCTGGATTGCATTTTGGTTATTTTACCTTCTAGACATTCTCCTACAGGAATATTAATGCAGATGGAAGATATTATATTAGAATGGATATTTTTACCAAATAAACCAAATAAAAAATTAAAAACTTATGTGGAAAAAATCTCTGACATGATTTGGAAAGGAAAATTGAGACTTCGTCAATTAGCAGGAATAGACCCAGCAGAAATTGTCGTACCTTTAACTAAGGAGGACATTGAAAAATTATGGACAGAAAGTGAACCTTGGCAAAGAGCTTGCAGTAATTTTTTGGGAGAAATCAACAGCAAATATCCCAAAAGCGATAGAATTGATCTTATAAAGAGAGCTGATTGGATCTTGCTTCGAATTGTAAGGGAAAAACCCATATCTGGAGTTCGTACATTTTATACAGATGCCAAAAACAAGGAAAGGCAGGTTACAAATCAGAAAATTTAAGTAAAGTGGTTCAAAGTCCTTATAATTCCCTCATGCTCTCCACCTGCTTCCCCTCCCTTCCCCATCCTCCCACCCCAGTTTACCCAGGAGATCGTAACTATTTCCCATTCCTGGGCCTCCATATGTGTCCCTCATTTAGTCCTCCATTTATCTAGCTTCTCTAGGGTTGTGGAGTTTATGGTTGTTATCCTTTGCTTTGCATCCAATATCCACATAGGAGTGAGTGCATAACATGCTTGTCTTTCTGGGTGTGGATAACCTCACTCAGGTTGATTTTTTCTAGTTCCATCCATTTGCCTGCAATTTTCATGCTGTCCTTATTTTTTACTGTGGAGTAATACTCCATTGTGTAAATGTACCACATTTTCTTTATCCATTCTTTGGTTGAAGGGCATTTAGGTGACAGTTGTGAGTCTTGATCTGTTTGTGGGGCTCCTGGCAGAGGGATCAGGACTTATACCAGGTGCATGAACTGGCTTTTTGGAGCCCATCCCCTATGGAGGGATACCTTGCTCAGCCTTGATGCAGGTGGGTGGGGTTAGGCCCTACCTCATCTTGGTATGCCAGAATTTGTTGACTACCCATAGGAGGCCTTACCCACTCTGAGGAGTGGAAGGGGTATGGGATAGGGGAGGATGTGGGGGATGGAAGAAGGGGATAGAGAAGGAATTGGGGATAGAATGTAAAATAAAAAAATTAAAAACTAAAAAAAAATCCATAAATCCAAAAAAGAGGGGAAAATCACACTAGAATAAAGTGAAATTACAAAGCAAACAAAACAAAACATTGTTTTGATCTTACAAAAAAGTGTTGTAACAAGAAAAAATTGCAAAATCTCCAAAAATTTACCTTTAAATGTAAAAAAGTGCTGTTTCTCATACTCTGTACAAAACTAGGCTAATTGCCTCCAATGCACTGTCTGCTTAAGATAAGAAGCTTCAACTGAGCACCTTAAAACCTTTACAAGAATGAAAAAAATGTCTATATCTCAAAGAAAATAAATAAACATAATTAATGTAAAATGCACTTCTCCAGAGAGACCATTGGCAATTAGTGGCCATTGTGAGAGTCAGGCTTTTCTTCAATGCAGTACCACAGATGAGTTGTCCGTGCTCACCAAATAACCTTCTTCCTGTGCTCAGTCAGGTAGCTCTGACTAAACTCAATGGACCACACACAAAAACAAAACCATGTCAGGGGAGGCTTCTCGAGAAAAAGATTTTGAATGCTGCAGGAGTGGAGTGCAAAATAGGAGAATGGAGATCAATGAGTAAATACATCATATCAATGTATGAAATGGTGAAAAAATAAAAATTCAAACATCCTCAACAACATATATTTATCATATCTCACCGCAACAGATAACACGCACAGAGGTGGTTCTATAAGTTCCTTACTGAAACTGTGTCTGTGGAGTTTTGTCCACCCTTTACCTGTGCAGTATGAAACATTTTCTCATGGTGAATTTTGATATTATCTTCCATTAGAACTCAATGATACCCACCCAACGTGTAATACAACATTAGCCTGTGATATGTAAACAGAATTAAATCCCATGAATATGTGGAAAGGTTTTGTAACATCTGTTTGACATTTAAAAAAAGTAAACTTGCCGGGCGGTGGTGGCGCACGCCTTTAATCCCAGCACTCGGGAGGCAGAGCCAGGCGGATCTCTGTGAGTTCGAGGCCAGCCTGGGCTACCAAGTGAGTTCCAGGAGAGGCGCAAAGCTACACAGAGAAACCCTGTCTCGAAAAACCAAAAAAAAAAAAAAAAAAAAAAAAAGTAAACTTTCTACATTACAATTAAATGCAGAGACCATGACAGAAGCAATATTTTTCATTATGACATAGTCATTCCTCCAAAATATCACAAAAAATTTAATAAGATCATATTTGAATAAGTTTGAAGTAACATATTTGATAGACAGTGTCAGAAATGTCCCCTGATGATGAGGAAAAATGCAGTGTATCCCTTCTGTCTATCATGTATAGCACAGCACTTAAACTTTTAGGTAACACAACTAGACAAATAAATTAAATACAGTGTGTGCATAATTGGAAAAAATAGACAGCTTGTCAAAGAATATAGTAAACAAAAACTAGCAAAGGAATAAAAGTTTCATTTCAGAAAAACTGATTATCTTTTCAGAAGCTCTGTCTGAATGGATAGGTGATGCTGAGTGGGGAGGATGCATGAATATGATCAAAACACATTGTATGAGTGTCAAAGAATAAATAAAGCATCATCTTTTAAGAGAAACCATGTTTTCAAATGTAGGGGAAAAGTTAATATTCATAATTAATGATTGCATCCTGGTAGATTAAGGCCATATACGAAACAATTCCCTTTGTATTAAACATCAGTAAACATTGAGATTTCAAATTACAAGTAATACATCAACTAAATGTCACTTCTGAACTTCACACATGTTACCTTATCTTGGAATTATGACAGTGATTTTTGAGTAGAAAAAATAATGCAGTTTGCAAAGGCCAAGTGTAGAACACGTTAAATAAAATATTTTTGAGTGGAAGTGTAAAAGGTAATGTTGTGAATCATACAGGTTCTGGATAGCTGTTCTCAATTCACTTAATTTAGTGGAGATATAGAGACTTGGGGTTTGGCTAATGTCAGTGTGACATGTTTGTTACTTACAAGTGTTTTAAAACAACAAGGGTGGTGACATGCTACACTTCAAAGCCATAGAAACAATATCCCTCCTCTTTATTTCCCACTATCATCATTACTTTGAGGCAAATACTAAGTTTTCCAGAAGAATCCTCAGATCATTCTAGTAATGAACACTGAAGACACTGGTTTCCAGGGAAAGAGACTTTGGGGCATCATATTTATCCCACTTAATTCAATCATGGTATCTAGCTTTTCCAATTATTTTTGTTGTTTGAACTGTGTTCTCTTTCTCAACAGTAAGAGAAAAAGGCTGAGTATGAACAACACTGACTCTGGCAGTGTAAAGGAAAATATTATTTGACAGTGAGGGAAAGCAAGGGCCCATGACATACATGAGGTAGGGAAGTAAGAAGAGAGGAGGAAGTAGTGAGCATATATTCACAGTGAGATGTGGAGAAAAGAGTACAATTGAGCAGGAAAGTGCTCTTGACAGAAACCTACAGAATTTCCTACATCCAGAACACATTAGCTTCCAGGATCTTTAAAGGGTGAAGTACATCCTTAAAGTACATCCAGTTTTCTTTACATTTCTTTCTTTCTTGTATGGGACAAGCAGATTTATTTTCCATGGTCTGCTCATGTGTGGAACCTGGTAGACTTTTGTGTTTATCTCCTGGTTGCATCTATTCCCATTTTCTTCCTGTGCCAAGCCTCTAACAGCAGAATCACTAGAGTCACTAAAACCAAGGCAGCCATGATCATTCGGATGAGATTTTCAACTGTGTGACCTTCGTGCAGTGAGGCTGGGGGTTCTGTAAACAGCAGTCAAAGAAGTCATGTCAACCTAAAATCTCTCAGTAAACGCTTGTGCACCCAGTCTCCCATCTCCTTGACAGATCTAGACATTTTGTGTCTTTCTCTTCATCTAGAATTCTCCATTTCACCTGATTCTCATGTGGTCACGGTTTTCAGATTCTAATGGTCTGAGCTTCCCCAGAGGATCAAATACTTTGAGTAGAATCTATAAAATTCTTAAGAGAGCTGGGCCATTCCTCTGGACTCCTCATGCTTTCATTTATTCTTTTTTTTTTTTTTTTTTGGTTTTTTCGAGACAGGGTTTCTCTGTGTAGCTTTGTGCCTTTCCTGGGACTCACTTGGTAGTCCAGGCTGGCCTCGAACTCACAGAGATCCGCCTGGCTCTGCCTCCCGAGTGCTGGGATTAAAGGCGTGCGCCACCACCATCCGGCTTTCATTTATTCTTATTTCACTAAAAGGCATGTTATTTTGATGGGATTTCATTTTGCAGATCTAGTAAAAACATTTCCTGCTGCTTTTAGGTGGGGAATAAGTAAACTTTCCCCAATTTCCCAACTTCAGAGGAGTCTTTACCAAACAATTATGATCTCACACATTGCTGTACCCACATCCCAAGAGCTCTTACTTACCATTCTCAGTGTGGTTGGGAGACAGGTCCTTGGACTCTGCCAAAGATATATGGAGAGGTGAGAATTTGAACTTCAAGCACTTGACTGTGGACCGACAATTTCTACCTCAATCTGAAATTTAAGTAATTCCAACTGGCTATCACCTTGTTTTAGACCAGATTTTGTGCCTCTGGATTCCTGTTTGTCTATTAAGGTCACAGATCAGGTCCGCCCAGCCTCAACAAAGCATGTCATTGAATATAAGGAAAGGGTTGAGACTCTGAAGGAAACAAAGCTTCCTGATCGAGTCTGTGCATCATTTTTACCACAAGGTTTTGGTGACCAGCTGTTACGATGAGACTGTGCCGTTTATTTCAGGAAATAAAAACAAGAAGAGAATGAAGGCCTGTGGATGCCATTGAAGACTGTTCTGATTAGGTTTTGCTAACTTGATACAATCTAGATTCATCTGAGAAAATGCTTCCATCATATTGTCCTGTAGGCAAGTCTGTGGAGGAATTTATTGACTGATCGAATGATTGCTGATGTGGGGGAGGGGAGCAATCACAATCCCTGATGGTATAAGAAAATAGTCTGAGCAAGGTACTGGGGAGTAAGCCTGTAAGCAACGCTCCACCATGGCCTCTGCTTCAGTTCCTTCACTGAGTGCCTACTTCTAATTCTTTTTGTTATGGACTGTAAACTATAAAAAGACACAAAACCTTTCTTTCACAAGTTGCTTTAGATCCTGGTGCTTTATCACAAAAATAGAAACCTAAACAGCACAGAGAAAATATCTGAGCATTCCATATACTGTCTTTTCTCAAGCCCTCCTGCCTCTACTAAATTCCAATGAGTCACTGAGAGGAGCAGTTGCACCAGGGCATGCTGACGGCTGCTGCTCTATGAGGTGTGAAAGTCTTTTGAACTGTAAAGTCTCCATACTTCTATGCTAGAGCTCTTCTCAGAGCAATCGCTGGGTAACACTCTAAGAAAGGATGGATCAGGGGTCCTTACCAGAGACCAGGAGGTGAAGCGGGTCACTTGATTTTGACCACACCTGGGGAAGGTTCCTATAATAGCCATAGCATCTGAAAGTACCATTGTGGATGGTGGTCACGGGGTCCAGAACAAAATGAGCCCGAAACTCCCAATTGGTACTTTGCTGTGAGTCCAAGGTCCAGGGGAGGTGGTGCTTTCCTTCCTGGATCAGAATGAATCTGCCAAATCCCAGTGATGAACTACACTGCATAGTTATGGTCTCTCCTGAGGTCACAGCAGGGCTGGGCCAGACAGACAGGCTTGGTTTACCAAAGACTCCTAGGATACAAGGGAAAGTGTGTGAAATGAACATAATCGACCCATATTGTCCTGCAGGCTTGGGCTCTGAGAAAAGAACCCATGGAGAATTGAACTCTTTCTGAAGGGAGAGCCTATGCTAGGAACCCTGAGTATCAACTCACCTGTTAGCACAAGTTCCAGGATGTCACTGTATTCTGACCAGCCAGCAGGGCTCTTATAGTAACACTTATATATCCCTGCAAAGTCCACTGTCATGTGTTCAATGTAGAAGTTAACCTTGTCCGAGCGTTCCAAAGGGGATTTTCTGTCCCAAGGATCTGAGCTTCCCTCTTTAAGCAAATGGTACTCCTTGGCCTCCCAGGACCCCTGACACCAAAGAGTCACAGGTGCATATATGGCAATCACAGACTGTGGCTCAGCCCAGATTTTGGGCTTTGGGAGTGTTCCTGCAAGGAAACCAAAGGCTGAGTCCCATACAATCCTCCCTCAGACACCAAGCCTTAGCATAGAGCACTTACAGGCATCACAACATTATCCATAAACTTTTTTCACTCCACATTGTGAAGAGATGACCAAGAGGAAAACAAAAATAATATCTGGTATTCAGAGTGAAGAATAAAATCTTGGGATGGATGGAGACACTCACCTGCCAGGACTGCAGTCATCTGTGCCACACTCAGTCCTGAAAGAAAATTCACTCTGAGAGATTTTTCCCATATGAGAGACAGGGTCAATATCATGGGGTCTCCAGACTCAAAAATACCTGGCTTGGAGTAGGGTTCCTTACAGACTTGAGTGTCCACTCTCCCTCTTCATATCTTACCAAGGCACAGCAGCATTCTGAGCATGGGGACCATGGTGAGTCTTGGTATTTTTCTTGCTTGTACTCCTAGGGCAGCCAGACCATGTTCTGTAGAACCATCAGACAGGCTGTTTTCAGTCTGAGGGCAGGTCCTTCCTGTCATGGGTTTGCCACATCAGTACTATCACCACAGGAGTAACTTCTCTTTTTTCTCCAGTGCAGGAGTTTTGTAAAGTGCTTGGATCCCTGAAAAGTCTTTAGAAAAAAATGGGGTTTTCACTATTCCTCACAGCTTTCCATCTGTCCTGCATGTTTTTCAAGCCAGAGAATGAGCATTTGCATGTTGCAGCATGTCATATCACAAAGAGAAACAATTGCAGACCCCAAATATGCAAAAGTGATGTTGGTCCAAATCAGCACACTGTTCCAAGAAAAGATTCGTTTGTGATATTACAATGGGAGGCCATAATCTCAAGGTGGGTCCAGAGACTCAAGTCAAATATTTCTTATGTCACGGCTCAGGTCAGACTCTGCTCTTTTTGCTCTCTAAGCTCCAATGGTCTTCCACATCTTTAGTCACAATATCCTGATTCACTGCAGCCAAGACCAGCATTTTCCAATTCTGTTCCCTCTTTTTACTTTTTTTCTGTGAGACTGATCCTTTTGCCTACTTGTTTGTGTCATCAAGATGTTACTATTTTGTTGAGACCATCAGGCTTAAGTCCTCTTCCAAGATACTTAAGTACTGTCTAGTACCAGCAGTAATAAGTTCAGGTTCTGAGTATAAGAATGTAGATACCTTTGGTTCTATTATTCAGCTTGGAAGAGGAATTTTTCCATTTCCTCCTTGAACTTTGGTGACTGGCTTCTTTTATCCCAGGGACATCGTAATATCACCAAATGCTGGGGATGCCTGTGTGATGTGGTAAACTGTCCTCTGAGGATGACATGAAACAATGATGGGGTTCCCCTATTTCAGTTACAGTAGCTTTGGTGTCCACCGATGTTTTTCACAGGGCTGGGCATATAAAAAGTTTATTATGAATGCTGGAAGGATTTCACAATACTTTACTCCATACTGGTATTATTCTTGGCTAAAAAAGAGAGAGAAGAGAGAAAGAGGTGTAGGTTTTGTTTGATGGTATCGTTATATAAAATTCCCAGAGCTCCTGTCAGCAGCCTCTTGCACTTGATTTGATTTATTAATCACAGTTATATTCATTGGTTCACCACACCACACTTGGATGGTATTGCTTAATTTTTCTGTCAGTGGTGCCTTATGGGCTGTATTACATGGTATGTTCATGTCACTCCAGTTAAATTTCCCCAAACACTGCAACTTAAATTATTCTTGGAAGAGAGGAATATCTCCAAGTTGGGCTCAGAAAACCATAGTTAGACTACCACCAATCACTATTCTCCATTAGCCTCTATATTACCTGGAAGACATAATGGGCACAGTGGTCATGGAGTGTCCAGAAGTGATAAAGTTTGTAGTTCATCCTACCATATAATTAACATTAAATGAAGCACAGGAAATACATTTTGCTTTAAGCTAATATTGAACAAGGTAGCCAGAGTTTTCAATAACATGAGGAATCTTAAATTTCAAGGAGCTACAATGTTCATAACACACTCTGTGTAAACCTGTATATACTCAATAAGGCGTGTCTCCCAGCAATGAAGTTGGGCAATCAATTTCAGAAAGCATGATTAGGCTTCAGCATACAAACAGGAGAAATTATGCAAGTAATACATTCTTTGTACTTCATTCTTAGTTCTGACCACAAATCATCAGCTCCTCTCACATTTAGTTCCATCATGGAAGAATGAGTGACAAGATATGTCTTACAAATAAATGAATAGTTCTGGAAACACTGATTCTGAGTGAACTAACTTTGACCCAGATGTAGAAGCACCATATGTTTTATCTCATTTCAGGAGTTATCCTTGAAACTTCAGGGGTGTGTGTGTGTGTATGTGTGTGTGTGTGTGTGTGTGTGTGTGTGTGTGTGTGTGTGTGTGTGTGTGTGTGTGTGTGTGTGTTTCATTTTATATACCCACAGATGTCAGGAAATTGGTCAGCTGTCATCAGAGTAGGACTTAAGATGGTGAATGGTACAACCTTCTATAATGGAATAAAGAACAATCAAGGTACAGGAAAGTGTTAATGGCAGGATGGATGTGTGTTTTTGGTTGTTTTTACTCTATTGGCTCTTTGCTCTTTGGTGGGCCCTACCACCCAGCTCTCAAATAAATCCACAGAGAGACTTACTATTACTTATAAATACTCAACCTTATCTGGGCTTATTTCTAGCCAACTTTTCTTAACTTAAATAATTCCATGTATCTTTTTATCTAGACATTTCCTTTTCTTAATTTTATATTCTTATTTTCACTTTTACTCCTGGCTGGCTATGTGACTGGGTGTCTGGCCCTTTCTTTTCTTGCTCCTTTCTCCCTTCTCCCAGCTTTCTCCTTCTATGTATTCTTTCTGCCTGCCAGTCCCAGCCTATCTTTTCTCTTGACGTGCTATTGGCCATTCAGTTCTATATTAGTCTAATCAGGTGTTTAGTCAGGCAAAGCAGCACAACTTCACAGAATTACACAAATAACACATAAAAGAATGCAACACATCTTTGCATCATTAAACAAATGTTCCACAGCATAAACAAATGTAGCACATCTTAAAATAATATTCTTCAACTGATGTGAGGAGAGGATAGAGCACAGAATAGACAGAGGGATAACTAACCATAAATACATTTCAAAATGTTCATATGGAAAATTACTACTAAAGGATCCTCCTTGAATATATATATGGATGTATACTGAGTATGTATGCGGTTGGAGTTCCCTTAGATTGGGTTAATAATTCCCCTAGTAGAGAAAGCAGGGTATGAAAGAAAATGCTCAGTGTCAGGAATGGGTTATCTTTGTCCAAGTTGTTAGACAGTGGCATCCAATTGACCCCCAAACATTTCAGGCTATGCCAGTGCTCTTGGTTTCTCTCCAGAACTTGGCAGTAAGCCTGTTTCCTTGAAGTCTCCACATATTTGGGTTACAAAACATGTAGAAATTGAGCAGAGATCATCTGGAAGCTTAATTTCTACTAGCTAGCTTTTATTGTATAAGACGTTGGTATGACCACACCTATGTGTGTGTCCTTGTGTGTGCTATGGGTGCAGATGCACTGAGAAGTCAGAAATGTTGAATCTCCTTGAGCTGGAGCTGAAGGCTGACAGGATGCTGATAACTGAATTGGGATCTTCTGGAAAATCAGTTAGTGCTCTTTAACAAAGAAGCTATTTCAAGCCTTATCATGAAACTCTCTAAGGCCCACACTGTCACCTTGACATCCTCAGTCCTCACATAGTTGCTTTACCTTCAGCCCCATTTTCTGTTCCATGTCTCAATAGAGAAGGAAAAGTATGACTTATGTTATGTCAGTGATTGCAATTCAGAGTCAACTGAAAACAAAATCAGTGTGATGATTTATTTCATATCTTCTTTTACATTTTCTGGGCAACTGACCTCATTTTTCTACACATAGAAGGCAGGGAATGATTCCAGAATTGTAAAGGTGGCAGTAAGATATATAATTAAAAGGAGTAATACTAGCAAAGAAAGGTTTTATATTTTATAAATTTGTAATTAACACATGACGACTTTTTCTGTTCATGGCCAACTATGAACTTTTTATATTAATTTGTATGTGATGTAGTATTGCATGAAGTTAACAAACCCTTATAAAAATAATAATATTTGTAAACTAATAAGAAATATAATAGGAGCCAATGAAGACATAAAACATGGATTAAAACTGAGCTTCTTGTATTGACATAAAATGGCAAGGTCTCAAATAAATCAAAGAAATAAAATTTATATAAGAATAAATCAATATTCCTAGAACCTGGGTTCTGGAAATTTGTTTGAAGAGTTGACGGAAACAGACAACATACTAAGAAAGGAACCACTTCAATGATACTTGCCTATTTCCTTGGCCTTCAAGAGAATTCTTATACATTTTCTCCTGTATCATATACAACTGTCTCCACTTCTGGCCCTTCCTCTGAGCTCTCTGTCTTCCCTCAACACCCTATTGTCTTCATGGGTACGGCGGTCATGGACTACTCTAACTTGTTTGCTCAACTACCTTCAGAAGTTAAGTAAGACTATTGCAGAAAGAAATACCTGGGTGGAGCTTAAAGACACTGAAAAGTTAGGAACAGGAAGAAAAGGGAGAGATACCAGTGCTGTGGCTCAAGTTGGATGACAGAATGTGAAGAAGTTGCCCAGAGACTCTAAGTATGACTCAATAGGAAGAATATACGTCTGAGATCTATTGGTAAACATGCCATATAAAATGCAGAGTAATACCATAATAGCTTTTATATTCCTACATCACACTGGAATTTATATATATATATATAATCTTTAATTACTCATCATACTATATATACACATTATATATATATATAATACAATCACTTTGTATCCTATAAAAATTTATAATTTTTGTTAGATTACAAAATGAAACAAATCAAAAGTATAAATATTTTAAGGGGATAAGGATAGATAATGGAGGCACAAACACAAGGCCCAGAATGAAGCCACCCTTGGATAGCATTTGTTTTGAGTCTATTGTCTGCCATCTCCCATATGCCCAGCTCCTTTGTGTGTACTCCACGCATCAAGTGTAGAGATTAAGTTCTCATATCTTCTTTTCCCTTATCCACAAAAATGACTAAGAAAACATCTAATTCCAGAAACACAGCCTGGGAGAAGGAAATAGAAACAAATTCAGGTACAAATATAGAATGAATTTCATCTTCAGGTCTAGAAGTTAATGAAGTGAAGGGTTGCAGATGATCTTCAAGCTGAGCTCCCAGACATAAATTAATGTGTATCTGAGAGTGAATTACATTTTTCAATCCTCCAAAGCATATTGCTCTTGGTCAGATTTTCTGGGTGGTTGTGATAGTCTCAAAATCATACAGGTAGAACTGTCCCTCAAGATGCTCATATTAGTAGAGATTGATATATGGTAATTTCAGCTCAAAATTGTTAAGAATCCCATAGTCTCTGGGAAAACTGGAAACAATTTCTAGCAATTCCCACATCTTATGGAAGTTTCTAAAGCAACTGTTTGGTCTTTTACTGATGTTGATGTAGCCAGTCCACATTACCTATAGCAGAGGCCTCATATAGGTGTCTGAGGCTCTCATCTTCCTTTCTTCATCTCACCTACCACATGTAGAGTCCAGTTGCTGAGCACCTCTGAGGCAGAGTCAACAAGACTGGAGCAAAGAACTATGACTCATGCTGAGCACCCATGCAATAAAATAAAAGGGTAGATATGTAGTTAGACAGGCCCATAGGATTGAGGAAATTGGCCCAAACCAGTTGGCAAGGCATGCACATAGCGTACTTTCTTATGAGCCAACCTTGAGCCTGCCTAAGGGCCTAGCAATAGGCACTTTCAGAGTTCCTAGTTGCTGTCAGAGTTCTTGATCATGCCCAGCCAATGAGGAATGACCGCTCAATGCCACCAGATTGGGATACAGTTTGGGTGCTGGGAGGACGGTACATAAGGCCTTCTCCATTATTGGATAAACAAGTCTGCTGTCTGCCTTCAGCTGACTTGCAGTGTCTGTGTTGTTGATGCTACACTTTCTCAACCCCCCTCCCTGTAGGGAGCCAATAGGATCCAGTAACACTTAGGAATGTAGAATACCATCTTTTTAATAAGATCATAATAGAATAAATTGGAGAAAACAGTATATTTAATAGACAAAGTCAGATGTGTCCCCTGAAGATAATGAATTACACAATGAGTTTGTTCTGTCTATCCTGTTGAGTGTAGCACCTGAAATTTTAGCTAACGTGATGACGAGTAAAGTAAATGCAGTGTGTGCATATTTTGAAAAAAAAGAAATAGGTTGTCAAAGAACACAAAAATGCTAACAAAGTAATAAAAGTGTCCTTTCAGACAAATTAATTTTCTTCTCAGAAGTTCTGAATCGATAGGGGAGACTTTAAAACCCATATTGATTTCATGCCTTACCATACTCACCTCCAAGTAGAGTTATCACTTACCATTTTCTTTTTTTTTTTTTTTTTTTTTTGGTTTTTCGAGACAGGGTTTCTCTGTGTAGCTTTGCGCCTTTCCTGGAACTCACTTGGTAGTCCAGGCTGGCCTCGAACTCACAGAGATCCGCCTGGCTCTGCCTCCCGAGTGCTGGGATTAAAGGTGTGCGCCACCACTGCCCGGCTTTTTTTTTTTTTTTTTTTGGTAGAAATGGATGGACAGATGAAGATTTGAGCTCCCAGCCCTTGAGTATGACCTGCATTTTTCTACCTCAGTCTGGACCTTAAGTACTTCTAACTGATTTTCACCCTGTCACAGACTGGATTTTGTGTCTTTGGGTTCTTGGATGTCTAACAAGATCACAGTTCAGTCCCATACAGGCATAACAACCCTTATCATTGAATGTAAGAGGAAAATTCAGACTCTGGGGGACTCAGAATTGCTTGACTGGATCTGCACATTTTGTGTACCACAAGCTTTTTATAAACAACTTTTGCAATGAGACTGGGCTCAGAGCTTTCAGAAAACATAAAATTATGACTGAGGATGCCATTGAAGACTATTTTCACTAGGTTTTGCTAACTTTATACAAACTAGAGTCATCTACAAGAGACAACGTTAATTGAAAAATTGCCTCTGTATTGTCCTGTAGACAGGCCTCTGGGGGGAATATTCTTGATTGGTTAATAATTGATGTGGGAGAGCTCAGCCCACTGTGTGCCATTTTAACCATGGGTGGTTGGACCTTGATGGTATAAGATAGCAATCCAAGCAAGCTCCTGGGTAATGGAGCCTATAAGCAGTGTTCCTCTATGGACCCTGCTGCAGTTCCTATCTTGAGTGTCTACTTCTAATTCTCTTCATGAAGAACTATAAGGAATAATATGGAACAAATCCTTTTCTCCATAAGTTGCTTTAGATCGTGGTGTTTTATCAAAAAAAAAAAAAAAAAAAGAAACCTAACTAGTACAGAGACAATGTTTGATCACTTCATCAATTTTGGGTACCCCTTAAACCTCCCACTTCTGCTAAATTCCAGTGAGCCATGGAGTGGAGCACTTGCATCAGGGGATATTGATAGCTGCTAATCTATGATGGGTGGAAGTCATTTGGACTGTAGAGTTTTAGAGTTTCCTATTCTATTTCTAGGCTAGAGCTCTTCTTAGAGAGGAGAACTGAGTGACTCTATACATTAAGAAAGATAGATCAGGAGTCCTTATATGAGACCAGAAGGTCAAGGGGGTCACTTGATTTTAACTGCCCCTGAGGATCATTCCTAAAATTGCCATAGCATCTAATGTCCCATTGTGGTTGGCAGTCACAAAGTCCAGAGAAAAACGAGCCTGGTATGACATCCTGGCATGTTGCTGTGAGTCCAGGGTCCATGAGATGTTGTATTTTCCTTCCTGGATCAGAATAAATCTGCCAAATCCCATCAGTGAGCTACACTGCGTGGTTATGGACTCTCCTGGGCCATAATGGACAGGGCTGGGCCAGACGGACAGATAGGGATTTCATAGGATTCTAAGATACAAAAGGCATTGTGTGAAATGAACAAAGCTCCCCACACTGTCCTCCAGCCTTGATAACTAAGAGAAGCACCCCTGAAGAGTAGAACTCCTTCTAAGGGGAGAGCCTGTGCTGGAACCCCATAGAGTCCTCTCACCTGTTATTACTGGCTCCAGAATGTCACTGTGCTCTGATCTGCCAGTAGGGCTCTTATAGTAACACTTATATTTTCCTGCAAAGTCCTTTGACATGTGTTTGATGTAGAACTTAGCCTTGTTCCTCCATTCCAGAGGGAACTCTCTGTCCCAAGGATCTATGCTTCCTTCTTTATGCACAAGGCACTCCATGGCCTCTGAGAGCCCCTGACACCAAATAATCACAGGTGTATAGAAGGAAAGCACAGAGTCTGACTCAACCCAGATGATGGGCTTTGGGAGGGTACCTGCAGGGAAATCAAAGGCTGAATCCCAGTACACTCCTCCCTCAGACTAAAGCTCTTAACATAGAGAAATCACAGGCATTACAACATTAGCTCATAAGTACTTTTCTCCATTCAGTTGTGAAGAATTGATTGGCCCACCAGAGAGCAAAGGGGAGGTCTGATCTTCAGAATGAACAGTCACAGCCTGGGATGCACGGAAACACTCACCAGCCAGTACTTTAGTACTGTGTCCCACACTCAGACCTGAAAGAAAATTCTCTTTGAGATCTTTTTCCCTATAGCCAGGGTGGGTTTCCTGGGGTCTCCATATGAATCAGACCTGGCTTGGATTAGGGTCCCTTACAGACTTGTGTGTCCACTCTGGCTCTTCATATCTTACCAAAGCAAAGCAATGCTCTAAGCATGGAGATCATGGTGAGTCTTGTCAATGTTCTTAGTTCTGCTCCTGGGATGGTATGACTGTGTTTTTTAGAACCACCAGACAGGCTGTTGTCATTCTGAGGGCAGGTCCATTCTGTCATAGATTTGCCACATGAGCTCTATCACCAGAGGGCATACTTCCCTTTTTCTCTGTAGTAAACAGGGTTTGGTTAATTATTGAGATCTATAGAGTATTTAGACAAAAATGTGTTTTTTCTCTATTCCTTACAGCTTTCCACATGGCCTATGTGTTTTCCAAGCCAGAGTCAATACTCACAAGGAATCCATGGTCATTGTACTGTAGATTGTATCTTTCTTCACATCTCTCTTTGTTTGCCTTTCACATATGGGGGCTTTGATATTTGTTTTCATTTTTTAGATTAACATTTCCATTTGTGCCTGTTTTGGTTTAGTTAGCACATTATTTACTTTAAAAAATAAATTAGTCCTTCGAAAGTTTTGGATTTATATACTGAGGGGTCAGTCTCTGTTCAGATGGTGTCACTAAAGAACAGGGAACATGAGATGCGCCAACACCTCCTGGGGCTGTTTGAGCAGACCTAATTCTCTGGAACACTAGGTGATTCATAATTCAGTCCCAGCTAAATGGAGAACCTCTAGTTTTCTGACAAAGCCCAGGCTTTTGCCTGATTCCTGTTTTTTCGTCTGCAGACAAATTGTCTAGACATACTGCCCCTACCCAATACACCCTCACATAACATGGGTTGCATGCCATTTGGGCTCATTGGACAGCAACTTGATATGAACTTAGCTGACTGGGTAATATATGCATATATACCAGTGAACACACACATTAAACCAGATCCACACCTTGACGCTAGTCTCTGGAGTCTGCTTCCAGGGAAACTCTTTGTGACTCGGTCTCCCTCCCCCTTCCCCCACTGAGCTGCAGGTGAGAGAGAGAAAACCCCAACAGTATACAATGGGTTCTGTCCACTGTCACTTCGTGCTCTCCTGTCTTCCTCCTACTTCATTCAGCTCTCCCTTTTTCTGTCTTCTAATTTTTTTTTTGCCACACAGATTCTGTGTGACCATGGGTTTGTAACTGTCCCTCAGATTCTGGCAGTGTTTTCTAGTTGACACACAAGTGAAGATAATAACTCCTCCAAAGAACTTTGCTGTGGAGCTAAAGCTGGTCTGGGACTCCATGATGCTCACACAATGCCTGACTTTCCCATTGTTTTCAAATCTGTTCACCCTCTTTATGTCTTTACACTTACAATGATTGTTGATCAGTAAGGTCTTACTTTTCAATTGGACATTTTTTCTCTTAAAAGAGAAAAACTGTTCTTATGTCTCTTTTTCCTTTTTTGCTATCTTTCTTTGTGATTTGCTGATGTCTTTCCTTGTGTTCTCCTCTTTCTTATGTTCTTCTGTATACAATTTCTTCATGAATACTCTGAGGGTAACATAAGACATTTCATACTCTAAATAGCCTATTTTGCATTGGTAGGAACTTCAGTTTGTGATTTCATCTTTCTTGCTTTGCCTAGACATTCCTTGACTTTGAAAGAGCCTCTTTCAGAATGGCTCACGTGTTGAGGTAAGAGCAAGTTCTGAAGAATCAAGGGCTGTAAGAAATGGGCTCATGTTGGTGGCCTGCTTGCCACCTTGGACCAGGGTGACACTCAGGCCTAGACTGCTGCCTAGGGCCATATCTAGGCCTGTGACAGCCAGAGTCTATATCCATGACCCATACTGCCACCAAGGCCATTGAGATGTCTGGATTATGGACTACCACCTGAAGCCATTTTGGCATCCAGGGTCCATGCTGCCACTCAGGCCATGCTGATCCGAGTGGCCTGTGCTGCCATCAGCAGACATGATGACATCCAGGCCTTGGGATGCTGCCAGCGGCATGTCTGGGTTCAAGTAGCAAAGGTCTGTGTTGATGTCCACAGCTTCAATAACCACTGAAAGCTATGAAGATGACTAGGATCTGGTCAAACACCTAAGTCCATGTTGGTCTCCAAGGACCATGCTTCCCCCGGGATCATTCTAATCTGGATGGCCTATGATGACACCCACAACCATGATGGCATCCAAACTGGGGATGTAGCAAGGGACCATGTCTGCATGTGTAGCCCTACCACAGCCAGGGTCTGGGTTGTTATCTATGACTCCTGATGCCGTTAAAGAGCATACCAATACCTGGGTTCTGGGACATTACCTGAGGTCATGCTGCAGCTGAGTGGTCTGCAATGTCACAAGTTGCCATAGTGATGTCCAGGCTGGGCTATAGCTAAGGGCCATGTCTTGGTCTGTAGCCCAACTGCAGCCAGGGTCCTTGTTGATGTCTGTGGCTCATGATACCATCAAGGGCTATGCTAATGCCAGGGGTCTGGGCTACCACTTGTGGCAATGTTGGTGTCCATGGACCTCACTGCCACAGGGGTCATGTAAATCTCAGTGCCCTGTACAGTCACATCAGGCCTGTCCTGGGTTGCTGCCATGGGCCACGTCTAGGTCCATGGCCCAACAGCAGCCATGGGCTGGCGAAATATGTATAGCTCATATTGCCACAGCAGGTCATAGGAACCATGATCATTGAAATCTAAGGGTTGTGCTGAACCAGCCCTGTCCTTCACTGCAGAAAGAGAGCTAGTGCCAGTCCACCCCCATGGGAGAGGTAACCCCAGCATTTGTGAGAACTGGCCTCACCACTCAAGAGAGGCATAGGAAAGCTGGCCCTGATGGCATGGGCCTAGGAAAGCTGGTTCTGCCCTTTGCCTAGGGTATAAGCACAGTGACCCAGACCTACTAGCTCAGGTACGATCTAGACCCATATCTTGGCCCTTAGGTTGACCTACCCTAACAGTTGTCTAAGAGTAGTCCTGGAGTGTGCAAATGGACTTGTCCTGTAAAATGATAACTGGAGAATCTTCATGACTCAGGGAAACAGCAGGGTATCTGAGAGGAGTATTGATGAGGGCCCAGTGATGATAATTTTGTTTTGACAAAAAAAAAAAAAAAAAAGAAAGTCCTCTCTGGGAGCCCGTTCTCGGGTTTCTCGTGGCTTTACCCAGCAGGTCCGCACAGAGGATGATTAGGACCATGGGCCTGAGTGCAGGTGTCTGGGATGGTCTGCACTTGGCTGTGCTGGGGGACGAGGTCTTTTGCTGGTCTTAAGAGGTTTGTTGTTTTCCCTTTGAGCTAATCACAGGTGGTTCCCATACTAATATCTTCAGGTGATTCTAATTTTTGACCTTCTGAGAAAATTAAAGGCTTTAGTTTTTAAGTTTGAGAGCTTTTGAGAAAGAAAGGCTTTTTAGAGAGATTTCCCCCCCAAGTTTTCCAAGAAAAGCTTTTAGTTTAAGAGAAAGATTTTTTTCCCCAAGAGAGACCAACTTTTCCCAAAACTTCCCAACTTTAAACTTTGACTTCTTATACCCCCATTTTTGCCTCAGGGAGAAATCACTTTCTCCTGCCGCTTGGACTTTGCATTTCAGCTGTCCCCAGGTCAAGAGCTTCCATAGGAAACTTTTTCTTCCCCACAAGCTCAGAGTAGAGCTTTTTTTTACTACCCGTAAAGCCCAAAGAAAGATTTTTTTCCCCAGTTTGCATTCATAGCCCCCAAGGTTAGAAAATTGAAGAGTTTTTCTGTCTAGTTGCCTTACTTATTTTTTCCTACACAATCTTACACTTCTAAATTTTTTCTTCACTATATTACTATCCTATGCCTTATACTTTTTCACAGATAGAAATTGAGAAAAGGATACAAGATAGAAAATTTTGACAGAAGAGAATTTCGCTGCAGCATCAGACATCCTTCCAGTCCGTTTTCCTTTTCTCTCGAGGATAAAACCCCTGCCTCTCAATATATATAAAAAATATATATTTTCCATAACATCAGCATGCCTTATCCACTGGCAGGGCTGAACTCAGCACTTTCGCCAAAAACTCTGTAATAAAACTATTGTTTTCCTTATCTTTAGTCCCTATTACTTTGTCTTTAGTCCCTGTTCATTTGTCTTTAGTCCCCTCTTTTTTTTAGTCCCCCCCTTTTTTTCTTTAGTCCCTTTTTTTTCTTTTTTATCTTTAGTCCCTGTTCAGGCGCCATTCTGTGGGGTGTTTACCCAACCACCCCCACAGTTCCCCAGAGTTTTCTTGAGTGCGAGCAGCAGGAAATATTAGATAGAAGGATTTATTGCGGAGAATATCACGGAGATAAACAGATAGAAAATAAAGGATAGCCTCGAGAGGGCCTGGAACCTATTCCAACGGGCCCTGACTATCTCTGCCCCAGGGTTTTTATAGAGACGCCAAGGGGTGGAGCAAAAGACCTCCTCCCCCAACACAGCCAAGTGCAGACCATCCCAGACACCTGCACTCAGGCCCATGGTCCTAATCATCCTCTGTGCGGACCTGCTGGGTAAAGCCACGAGAAACCCGAGAACGGGCTCCCAGAGAGGACTTTCTTTTTTTTTTTTTTTTTGTCAAAACAAAATTATCATCACTGGGCCCTCATCAATACTCCTCTCAGATACCCTGCTGTTTCCCTGAGTCATGAAGATTCTCCAGTTATCATTTTACAGGACAAGTCCATTTGCACACTCCAGGACTACTCTTAGACAACTGTTAGGGTAGGTCAACCTAAGGGCCAAGATATGGGTCTAGATCGTACCTGAGCTAGTAGGTCTGGGTCACTGTGCTTATACCCTAGGCAAAGGGCAGAACCAGCTTTCCTAGGCCCATGCCATCAGGGCCAGCTTTCCTATGCCTCTCTTGAGTGGTGAGGCCAGTTCTCACAAATGCTGGGGTTACCTCTCCCATGGGGGTGGACTGGCACTAGCTCTCTTTCTGCAGTGAAGGACAGGGCTGGTTCAGCACAACCCTTAGATTTCAATGATCATGGTTCCTATGACCTGCTGTGGCAATATGAGCTATACATATTTCGCCAGCCCATGGCTGCTGTTGGGCCATGGACCTAGACGTGGCCCATGGCAGCAACCCAGGACAGGCCTGATGTGACTGTACAGGGCACTGAGATTTACATGACCCCTGTGGCAGTGAGGTCCATGGACACCAACATTGCCACAAGTGGTAGCCCAGACCCCTGGCATTAGCATAGCCCTTGATGGTATCATGAGCCACAGACATCAACAAGGACCCTGGCTGCAGTTGGGCTACAGACCAAGACATGGCCCTTAGCTATAGCCCAGCCTGGACATCACTATGGCAACTTGTGACATTGCAGACCACTCAGCTGCAGCATGACCTCAGGTAATGTCCCAGAACCCAGGTATTGGTATGCTCTTTAACGGCATCAGGAGTCATAGATAACAACCCAGACCCTGGCTGTGGTAGGGCTACACATGCAGACATGGTCCCTTGCTACATCCCCAGTTTGGATGCCATCATGGTTGTGGGTGTCATCATAGGCCATCCAGATTAGAATGATCCCGGGGGAAGCATGGTCCTTGGAGACCAACATGGACTTAGGTGTTTGACCAGATCCTAGTCATCTTCATAGCTTTCAGTGGTTATTGAAGCTGTGGACATCAACACAGACCTTTGCTACTTGAACCCAGACATGCCGCTGGCAGCATCCCAAGGCCTGGATGTCATCATGTCTGCTGATGGCAGCACAGGCCACTCGGATCAGCATGGCCTGAGTGGCAGCATGGACCCTGGATGCCAAAATGGCTTCAGGTGGTAGTCCATAATCCAGACATCTCAATGGCCTTGGTGGCAGTATGGGTCATGGATATAGACTCTGGCTGTCACAGGCCTAGATATGGCCCTAGGCAGCAGTCTAGGCCTGAGTGTCACCCTGGTCCAAGGTGGCAAGCAGGCCACCAACATGAGCCCATTTCTTACAGCCCTTGATTCTTCAGAACTTGCTCTTACCTCAACACGTGAGCCATTCTGAAAGAGGCTCTTTCAAAGTCAAGGAATGTCTAGGCAAAGCAAGAAAGATGAAATCACAAACTGAAGTTCCTACCAATGCAAAATAGGCTATTTAGAGTATGAAATGTCTTATGTTACCCTCAGAGTATTCATGAAGAAATTGTATACAGAAGAACATAAGAAAGAGGAGAACACAAGGAAAGACATCAGCAAATCACAAAGAAAGATAGCAAAAAAGGAAAAAGAGACATAAGAACAGTTTTTCTCTTTTAAGAGAAAAAATGTCCAATTGAAAAGTAAGACCTTACTGATCAACAATCATTGTAAGTGTAAAGACATAAAGAGGGTGAACAGATTTGAAAACAATGGGAAAGTCAGGCATTGTGTGAGCATCATGGAGTCCCAGACCAGCTTTAGCTCCACAGCAAAGTTCTTTGGAGGAGTTATTATCTTCACTTGTGTGTCAACTAGAAAACACTGCCAGAATCTGAGGGACAGTTACAAACCCATGGTCACACAGAATCTGTGTGGCAAAAAAAAAATTAGAAGACAGAAAAAGGGAGAGCTGAATGAAGTAGGAGGAAGACAGGAGAGCACGAAGTGACAGTGGACAGAACCCATTGTATACTGTTGGGGTTTTCTCTCTCTCACCTGCAGCTCAGTGGGGGAAGGGGGAGGGAGACCGAGTCACAAAGAGTTTCCCTGGAAGCAGACTCCAGAGACTAGCGTCAAGGTGTGGATCTGGTTTAATGTGTGTGTTCACTGGTATATATGCATATATTACCCAGTCAGCTAAGTTCATATCA